TTTGTACAGAAGAAGTAGGAGGAAGTAAGAGACCATCAGGCAGACCTAAATCTTCAGAGTGACTAATAGTTATTCACTCAAAACCAGAGTCACCTGGATTGAGAACAGTGAGCAGAACTGTGAGGGGTCAACATACTCTAACAGTAGGTGAGTCCAAAGGACTACAAAAGGTTGGAAGGAGATAAAGGAGTCTGAGACCTGAGCCCTCAAAACTAACAAGCCACGGCTCATTTCTAGGACAGACCTCCAGTTTGAGAAAAATATATATATAGTTAAAAATAGACTGCAAAGGGAACAGGGCAGGGACAACAAAGATAAAGAAAAAAGAAGATACAGATAAAATGAAGGAGGGAACAGAACCAAAAAGCATCAAAAACTAAGCTACCTGTATTTAAAACTTTACAGAAGAGAAAATTCTAGAGTAAGGAAATTAGAGAAAAATTTTGTCATGTCTCCTGTATAAAAGTTCAGGAAAAATATTTTTGCATACAAATGAACAACAGAAAAAGAAATGAAATGAAATTCCTTATAAAGTTCATATATAAATAAAGACAAAAGTCTAAACTACAGAGAACATAAGAACAAATTCACATATAGATTATGCATTAAGAGAAGAAAACAAAAAGGAAGAAAATATTTAATATATAAAAAGAAATAAAAATTGCATGAAAATATAGTGAAAATATATCCAACTTACATATATTGGTAATACCAAAGCAAAAAATATTTCAAGTAATCATAACTATAATTTTAGAAAAAATTATGAAACAATTAAAGGAGGTTTGAAACTCTAAAATGAAAGAACATAGCACATACCTGAAAAAAATCTATTCATATATAGAAAAACCTACCCATATGCCTAAAAATAAGAAACATCCTAGTAAATTATGGATGTTAAGGGGAAAAAAAGGAAACAACCTTTCTGCAAACAGGCAAATGAAATGACATGTAAGGATGAGCAAATCTATTTGTCATTAACTTTTCAACAGCTGAATAAGAATAAAATTATGGACATTTTTATGATAAAAAAATCAAAGATTTTATTTCCAACTAAACTGCTTTTTGAGTATAAACACTGCAGATAACCTAGCATCAACATGAAAGTTTTTCAGTGAACATATTTCTCAAAATTTTTCCAAAGAATAAGTATCTTAAAACTAAAATTATTGGAGAATTCTTGACGTAAAGTAGTTAACTTTAAACATACATTTACTTGTAGAATAAAATAAATTAGAAACAAAAAGGAATGTACAAACTATATAATGGCTATAACTATCTTCTCAAATGTTAATATAGTAAAAGTATTAAAAATGGGGAAGAAATAAGAAAAGTATATACAAAATATTTTCAAAACTATTTTCAGTAATCAAATAGGTGAATGTTGCATAACCATTCTGAGAATGTTTTATATGTAATGTAGAATAAAGTAAAAAAAATAATTCTGCAATACTTTAATTTCATCTCCCCTCTGTCCTTGAGAACTATGATTATTTGTGGTAGAAAAAGGAATAATAGATTTGAATTGAAGAGTTGTATAAACACTATGTAGACAAGAATTTAAATTGGGATTATCAATTGGACTCATGATGTATTTCATCTCCAAAAATAATGTATTTTATATTAAAAAAATAAAGCTTTTTTAGTTGTCTACATTAAAGGCCTAGAAACAATCACATCCAATATCAGTGACTGTCTTTAGCAGACAAATTGAAATACCATTTTATTCTAAAACTAGATGAGCTGTCTTGGAGAAATTGCTGACTTCAAGTCTGGAAAAAAAAATGGATAATGTGAACTTAGAGAAGCTTCTTGCTTTGTTAATATAATGTATAGTTCTAGATCTATGAATAATTTTTTTTTACTCTTTAAGCAGTGTTTTCTAAAAGTAAACTTTTTTGTTTTATTTTTTAATTATTATATGGCAAATGTTTCTTTTTCCCTTTATTTGTGGACAGTTTCATATATTTGAACACTTATATAGATTGAGTAACTGCTTCTACAATGAGGATATGGAATACCTCCATAATCCCCCAAATTCCTCAAATTATTCATTTGTAGCCACACTCACCCCATCGGTAACTGTTGCCAACCACTGACCTATTCTCATCACTAAGGGTTTGTCTTTTAAAGAATGTAATATATAGTAAATGGATTTATATAGTATGTAACCTGTTAAGATTGGCTTATGTCACCAAGCATAATGGTTTTGAAATCATTTCAAGTTATAGCACGAATCAATACTTTGTTATTTTTCTACTGCTGAGTATTATCCCATTGAATAGGTTACCACATACTGTTTATACACTCACCTGTTGAAGAACATTTATTTGGTAATTTCCAGTTTGCATCTATTATCAATACTAAGAAAGCTGATACCAATGATTATAAACAGGTTTTTGTGTGAAGATAGCTTTTTATTTCTCTAGAATACCCAGCAGTGAAATTGTTGGCTCATAAATAAATTGGAAACTAGTCTTTCCTTATGGCAGGCAGAATTTTAAGATAGGCAAAAGATTTGTGCCCTCTTGTATATAAATTCTCAAAAATTCTCCCTAATCTATTGATTTTGAGTTTAAAAAAAAGAATTATCATGGGTAGACCTACTCTAATCAGATGAGATCTTAATCATGGTCTAAGAGATTCAGAGAATGATTAAGGGGGGGGGGGTCAGAAGGGAGGAGGGAGGGAAAGAGAAAGAGGTTCTTCTCTTGGGCTTGAAGAAACAAGCAGCCTTGTTCCAGTAGGTCACATGTCAGGAAATGGCAGGTGGCCTGGAGGAGCTGAGAATCTCAGTCCTATAACCATAGAACTACATTCTGTCAACAATCCGAAACCTCAGAAAGGGGTCTGATCCTCAGATGACAAAGCAGTCCCAGGCGACATCTTGATTCCATCGTTGTGAGACTGTGAGCAATGAACCCAGCTGAGCAGTAACTGGACTTCTGATCTACAGAAATTGGTTGTTTATTTCTGCACCTAGAGATTTCTTTTTTGAAAAAAAATCATTACAAATTCAATTTATTTAATAGCGGGCTACTCAGGCTATTTCACCTTAAGTGGCTTATATTTTGTCTTGTCCTTTAAGAGTAGTCAATTTTATCTAATTTTTAAAATTTATGTGTCCCCTCATTATTCTTTACATGTCTATGGAAATATGTTGATACATCCTTTTTTATTACTAATATTGGAAATTTATATTTTGTAGAAAGAATATAGTTGGGATAACTTTAATCCAATATGAAAATCTCTCTTTTTATTTCTGAGTTTAGTCATTTACATTTAATGTTACTATTTATATATTTGAACTTTGGTCATTATTTATTTTCCTTTTTTCCCTGTGCTTTCTTTTTCTCTGCTTTCTATTCCATATACTCCTTATGCTATTTGAACATTCTAATATACCTACTGTGATTTTGACTATATCTCTTTGTGTGTATATCTATTTCTATTGGTTGCTTTAGATATCATAAAATATATACTTAACCACTTCATTTATATTGCAGAAAACTTATTACCACAAAAATTTATTTACTCTTTCTGGTTGTCTTACCCATTAAATAAACTGAAAACTCGATCTGACAGTGTTAAATGTTTTGGTCATCTGCCCTCAAACATTTTTTAAAGAACTTATGAGTAAACTAGGCTATTATATTTACCCAGATGTTTACTATTTCTGTTGTTTTTTATTCATTCCTGACCTTCCAAATTATCTTCTGGTATGATTTACCTTCTGCCTGAAGATGTTTTTTAGCAATTAGTTTTGAGCAGGTCTGATGGATGTAAATTTCTTTTAGTTTTTCTTCATCTGAGAATGTGTTTGTTTTACTTTCATTCCTGAAAGATATTCTTCCTGAATATAGAATTCTAGGTTGATAGTAACTTTCAATATCTAGAGAAAATGCATTGCCACTTCTGGCCTCCATGGCCTCTGCAAAAAAATCTGCAGTGGTTTGAATTGTTGTATTACTATAAGAAATGTTTTTTTGTTTGTTTGTTTTCTGTCTGCTTTCCAAATTTTTAGTTTGTATTTAGTTTTGATCAATTTTGAACACTGTGTCTGGGTGTTGATTTCTTTGAATATATCCTGTTTGAATATACTCAGCTTCTTGAATCTATTGGTTTATGTCTTTTGACAAACTTGGGACATTGTAAGCAATTATGTTTTCAAATATTTCTCTGTCAGTTATTATATTTTTTAATTCTAAATTTCCATTTGGTGCTTCTTTATTTTGCATTTTTCCTGATACTTTCTATTTTAATATTTGTTTCAAGAATGTTTTTAAACATTTTTCTAATACCTACAGTGAAGTCCTTGTTAGAAATTTCCAATATTCATATTATCTCTTCTTTGGTATCTTTTGATTTTATTTTTCATGTGGGTTGAGATTTTCATGGCTTTTTACATGGTTGAGTAATTTAAATTTTTGTTGTAGACGTTTAACATATTGCATTATTCAGCTCTGAGTCATATTAATAACCCAGGGGAAATGTTGATAGTTTTGTTTTACCCATCTACAGGGCTATGGGTCCAATGTCCATTCAGTGTTCAAGGACTCTGTAGTACTATTCGGATTTATTTTCTATTTGTGCTACCCTGTACTGTTCAGCCTAGACCATGCAGATTCTACCCATTAGTTCACTTATCAAAGTCTTAGGTAATTAGGTTAGGATCCATGCATGCACAATTTAGCAATGATCCCAGGAGATGAAAAACAACTTAATGGGCTCATTTTCTCAAACTCTTCCCTCTCATATGTCTTCAATATATACAACATCCGTGGTTTCTCTTTTTGATCACCCAGGCAAACACTGTCTACTTCTAGAGAATGGGGAACAAAACAAAGCAAAACAACAACAACAAAAAGCACAACAATGTGGCTTTTTGCCCTACTCTGTTATAGCCCCAAGAAAAGATAGGAATGTTCTCTCCCCTCAGAGTTGCCATCATCTAGCTAGTGTACTAACAGAGGAAAAGGGCAAAAAGTAAAAGAGAGATTTACCCATTTTCTTGAGCTTTGGGAATTATCTGTTCCACCCAATAAGCTAGAATTAGAGAGTTTTTTTCTCAATCTTTGTACCATAGTCATCACATGCAGGTTTCAAGTTATATTGAGGTTGACTTCAGTTCAGGCTTGGGATCCTAGAGGAGGAAAAAAAAGATAAATTCACCACTGGTTTGGTGGCATTCTTATTCTAGTTTTTTTTTCACCATTCTGGCCACTGCTATTTATTTACTTTTTAGGGTCTTCAAATAGCTGCCTATGAGCTCTCCCTGTGCTTTATAGTTGAGTTAAGTGGGAGACAAAGAGGTATGTGTTTGATCCATCCACCCACAGCTGGAGTACTAAACTTATTTTTTATGTTTTAACAATGAAAAAGGGAAGATAATTTTTTTATTTGGAATTTAAATAAAAGACAATATATAAGAAAGCTTATAACACTGGAATTCATAAGCCCTTAAATTCAGATCATAGCTCTAGTCACTCACAACATATTACTTTGGTCAGAATACGTCATGCATCTCATTTTCAAGACTCTCATTTGCAGAATAACATAACATAGTCATATAGAAGAAGAAATCTTAAATTCATATGTTTGGATTCCAAATAGCCTGCAATTTCAAATAATACATGCTGACCATGCCAAACTGTCTTTTTTCTAATAAAGTCATAATTTTATGCCTCACACAATATTTAATCAATCCAAAACAATTACATGAATTCTAATGTTTCCCATAATTGTATGCATAGCAGTGATTATTTGCCTATTTTATTGATTCTTGCTCTTATTGTGACATGGAGATAAGGGGGAAACATTCAAGCGACAGTCCTACTACAGTGTTAATACAATTGATTCAAAGATAAAATTATTAGATATGAAAACTCTGTTACATATGTGGTTTCATTTGGACAGGTTGCCTCTGTGTGTGAAAGCAGGTCCAAAGTATGCTCAAATGTAGAAGAAAAGAAACATATAAAAAATTTTAAATAGTGGAAATTTATCATGAAAATTGTGCATGAAAGACAATGGTTAGTGGTAAAAATGGAGATCACATTTACACAAAATGATTCCTATTATCCAAATGTAAAATGGCATGGATAGGTTCATGTAGTTCTTGATAATGATACAATTTATCCCCAATTTCTACATAAAAAGAACTCTATAAACAAGTATCTTTTTTCAGGAAAGTTATGACCACATGATTATCCTAAATTCTCCTGGAACTCCCCCTATACTCAATCTTCTGTTACCAAGTCCCTCTTCCTAGAAGCAAAGTCTTATTTATTAAATAGCATTACAAGTTAGCTGAGGATTTCCATTCACTATTTCCTTTTATTCAACATTTCCTATTACTATTTTTGGAAATGAGTTTTCCCTACAAATAAAACATACAAGAAAATATAATTCCTCTGATCTTTACTGTGACACTTAAGAGAATGAAGTAAAAAAAGCTTTACAAATACAATATTAGAAATAAAATATGTAATTTTAAAGATAAATCAATTCAGAAACTGATTTGCATCATCAACTTGATAGTTCATGAACATTATTTAAATTACCATTTAGGCCTTTATAATTAGAGTTAAGCACATTTTATTGAATCTTATATTTTATTCACATTCAGAACTGTTTAGTTAAGTTTAATGCACCACTTTCTCATATTCATTTTCCAAACAAGCTTCAAGAATATATTATTTATATCTGTAGCTGTTCTTCTGGCATTGCTGGTTTTATGAGGTTGTTATTGTGTCTGGATTAAACAATGCATTCAAAGCTCAAAATAAAGTGTCTGGTACATCCTAAGTCTCAGTAAATCTTATTTCAATTCTCCCTTGATCCTGATAAACTAACAATCACATTATCATAAGGTTAATTAAAATTAAAATTTTTAGCCTAATCTACTTATTGAAATAGAGCTGCTCTCATTCTTTCACTGTAATTAAGATACTTCAAGATAATAGGTAATTTACATTTTAATTTTTCCTTCCAACACTAAAAAGATCTGACTGTAGTCACTTATGAAAAAAGAAAAAACTTAAAGCTGTTAGCATTATCTTTATATTATAAGAAAAATATTAAAAGAATTATATAATTTTATTGTTAGAAATTTGAACTAATATCTTTCTTTCAAAAGCTACTCTAAAAATACACAGATTCACAAAGCAATATCACTGGGGTTTTGTAAGAGAAGATGAATATAGCCTGAAAACTCAGGGTTCACTAATATTTTTCTTTCCTATTCTTCATTCTTTAATCCTAATGATATCATTCTAAGGAATAGTTGTTAAATGTACATTGAGATATTTTGAAAGGAATGAGAGATTTTATGTGCTTTAAATATTATTATTAAATAGTAAAGTATATTTATATACCTTCTACTTTGGAACTTATAAAATAATAGTGATGATAGTGTTTGAAATATATATATTTGAGATATAGATATAATGTACATGTGTATATAAAAAGTGCGTATTTGTTAGTGTGAGTGTATATATATGTTAACATATATGTTGTTATATATATGTTATATATATGTTATATGTGTTATATATGTTATATATATATGTTAACATGTAATATGTTAACATATATACACACCTTCAGAGAAAGAAAGAACATGATGACATATCTGTAATACTATATTAAATGAATAAAACAAGTTACAGAATACATTTCCTATTAAAAAGCAATAAGAAAACCCTATATGTAATATATGAATTTGAATATATTTAATAAATACAGAAATAATTGTTTAAAAATGTGCAACTACCTTTTTGGTATTGCAGGGAAGAGTAGTATGAAAGGCAATAATAGAAAGAAAATTAAACTTTACTGTATAAAATCTGAAATGTTTAAATAGTAAATTCAAGCATATATTACTCTATTAAATAATAATTTACCAGCAAAAGAAATGTCATAGAGAATTGATGATCATATTTTTGAAAGGTGCATTGAAAGAGCAATAAACATATTTAAATATGTCTTCATAATTATTATATAAAACTGATAAATACTTACATATTCCAAAATTCTACCAATAGTAATATTTCAGCATTAAATGAATCTTTAATTAAAAACACACTAATTGAAAAACATCCAAAATCTGAGAAAAACCTACCTATCATGAATAAAGAACATATTACTGTAGTATTTTTTCACAGACAATTCTGTTTCTAATTCTAAAAGTTTCCAGTTGTTATTAATAAAAGAATCTGTAATCTAACAATAGATTCAAATTTTTTTGTTTTTTGTTTTTGAGGGTTTTTTGCATAATAAAAGTAGAGCGTATGAGTGAAATTTTGTTGGATGCATGGATTTGCGTAGTGGTCCTGGTAGGGCTTCTAGGACATCCATCACCCAAACAACAAACATTGTACCCATTAAGTAACTTCCCATCATCCACCCCCTTTTACCCCCTTACCTTTCCAACTCTCCATTGTCTATTGTTCCACTCTGTAAGATCACCTGTACACATTTTTTAACACTCACCTGTGAGTGAGAATTTAAGATATCTGACTTTCTGTGCCTTTCAGGTTTCACTTAAAATAATGATCTCCAGTTCCATCATGTTGCTGCAAAAGACATTATTTCATTATATTTCTGGCTGAATAGTATTCCATTGAGTATATATACCATCATTCTTTAATCAACCATCATTTCCTCCTTCCTTTTATCCAATCATTAATTCTTTGTCTAGACCGTGTTCAGAAGAGTTTTCTCTAGGTTTTTCTACTAGTATTTTTATAGTTTCAGATCTTACATTTAAGACTTTCATCCATCTAGGGTTGATTTTTGTATATGGTGAAACATGGAAATTCAATTTCATTCTTCTGTATGTGGCAATCCAATTTTCCCAGCACCATTTATTGAAAATGGTGTCCTTTCTTTCCTTCATGTATGTTCTTGTTGACTTTGTCAAATATCAGTTGGCTAAAGACATGTGGCTTTATTTCTGGGTTCTATATTCTGTTCAATTGATATGTGTGTCTATGTTTATACCAGTCACATTCTGTTTTGTTTGCTATGAGCCTGTAATGCTATTAGAAGTCAGATAATGTGATGTCTCCAGCTTTGTGGTTTTTGCTTATGATCGCTTTGGCCATTCAGGTTCTTTTTGGTTCCATATGACTTTTAGAATTGTTTTTCCTAATTCTATGAAGAAGGATGTTGGTATTTTGATGAGTTGTGTTGAATAACATACTTTAGGTAGTATGATCATTTTAATGATATTAATTCTTTTGATCCCTGAGCATGGGATGTTTTTCCATTTGTTTGTATCATTTACAATTTCTTTCATCAGTGTTGTGTAGTTTTCCTTGTAGAGATCTTTCCCTTCCTTGATTAAATTAATTTCTACATATTTTAATTTTTATAGTTATTGTAAATGGCATTGTCTTCATTTCATTCTTAGCTAGATCGTTATGAGTGTAGAAATGCCACTGACTTTTCTATATTGATTCTGCATGCTGCAACTTTATTAAATTCATTTATCAAATCTCAGATTTTTTTTTATGAAGTCTAGGCTTTTTTAGATATAAGATCATATTTTCAGTAAACAGAGATAGTTTGACTTTCTCTTTTCTAGTTTGGATTCCTTTCGTTTCTTTCTGTTGCCTGATTGCTCTGATTAGAACTTCCACCTTCCATACTGTGATGAATAAGAGTGGAGAAAGGAGGCATCTTTATCTTGTACTAGTACCTAGGGGGAATGCTTTTGACTTTTCTCCATTCAGTATGATGTTAGCTGTGGGTTTGTCATATATGGCCTTTATTATTTTAAGATACGTTCCTTTAACACCTAGTGTGTTGAAGGCTGTTATTGTGAAGGGATGCTGAATTTTATCAAGTGCTGTTTTTATGTGTGATTGGTTCAACCATGTAGTCAATTTTCTTAAGATGACCAATGCATTACTGGACCAAAAGTAATACAGAATGAGAAGATTAAACATATTTGTTATGCAATCACAGCTATAAGAAACAATGTAAGAGTTAATAATTTGGCTTTTCATGAGACTAAATATTCCCTGAGAGTGGAAATTAAATCTTATTCAAATTTATTTCATAGGAGCCAGTGTCATTAATGAATTAATAAATAAATGAATGAATTAATGATTAAAACAAGTACTGGCTAAATGATGTAATGGCATTTTCTGTGTACTGATTGAAATTAGTATCAGGAATTTAGACTTTTGAAAGTCAGAAATTAATTTTAAGAATTGCTAACTGCTCTTACCCTCCAAACAAATACACATACAGACATTAGAATAATAAAACCTTAAAGACACTAAGCAAGGTATGTGAGAGTAGACACATTTCTAGTTAAGTTTTCTTTCTTATAGTCTTCTTTATGAATGTCAAGACCAAGATATACTAATATTGTAAATAATTAATAGTAAAAAGACTTCTTATGTTAAATATATTACATGTCTTTTCACCATTTTTCAACCTTTGAGTACTCTAGTTCTCCTCAAATAGACTTCAAACAAGAGAGCTAAATATCTATGTGTTAGTTTTTGATGAGTGACAATTAATGTAGTGAAATCTGACATTGTATTTGTTCCTCTGTAAACACACATTTCAAATTATTCAAAATTTAAACAATTTGATACTACCCATCTATATGCCATCTGAAAAAATTGTTTGTGCCTGAATTGCTTGAAATATTAATAGTTAAGTCAATCTCTTATACTAAAAATATTTTTGTATATAAAACTATTGGTGTGATGCATCTGACATCTGGACCAATTGTCAACTACAGATAATTAGGTCCCTTAATGGTTCCAGGCATCTATTTTCAATCTAGTTCAGACCTTGTAATTAAAATCTCTTTAAATAGGATACAGCTTTTGGGGATAATGCAAATCCTGATTGAATTCAATAGAGTGATGCTATATCACAGAACCTTTGTCTCTAAAAACTCACTACATTTTTAAAGTTTTCATCCTTGCTTGCCTAAAAGCAATGTAAGGTATTCTGTGTAGATCTGCTAGAATAGCAGTTTATGAGACTTGAAAACTTCTACTGAATGTATAAATATCTTTGATACATAAAATTTTCTACTTAAAATGCAATTAAGTATACCTAAAATATTTGTAATATTTTTTAGATTGATAATAAAACTTACTATGTTGATTATAGATAGAAAACAATAAATTTTCATTGAGGTTTAGATGTTGGGTCATTGGAAAAGTTCCTTCATTATCTAAATAACTCCAGCCTCTCAAACATTTCATTTCCAGGCACATCATAAATGGCAACATGTTATAGACCTTCATATTCATTCATGAATTGTTGAAAATTTGAATTTTGAATGTCTACCAACACAATGTTCAGGCTTTTCCATCACATATTTCATTAAGAATTACAGGCTGTGTGAGGTGGCTCATGCCTATAATCCTAGCACTCTGAGAGGCCAAGGAGGGAAGATCGCTTGAGATCAGGAATTCAAGACCAGCCTGAGCAAAAGTGAGCAATAGTGAGACCCCATCTCTACTAAAAATAGAAAACATTAGCCAAGCATGGTGGTACATGCCTATAATCCCAACTACTTGGGAGGCCAAGTTAGGAGGATCTCTTGAGCCCAGGAGTTTGAGGTTGCTGTGAGCTAGGCTCATGCCATGTCACTCTAGTCCAGGCAACAGAGGGAGACTCTGCTTCAAAAAAAAATTGCAAATAATGTGCACTCTCTGTAGTAGAATTATATAATAGAAATATAACTTCAATATCCCTTCCTTCTTCTATTAGTAACATTATCATCCCAATATTCCCACTACCCTTTCTCCAATGTATGCCCTGCTGAAGGCATAGCCAATTAAACTTTCCGTTTAGGCCCAGAAAAATGGCAAGCTACTAAAATACAATGAGTGTTTCTCCTGAAATTTAAAATCTTGAACAGAATGACTCAAAAAAGCAAGAATTCATTTATTGGTTGCTATTATGCAGATCAGGTTTTAGCAAATTAGGATCAGCTTTCTATTTTTATAAATAGTTTTCTGGGAACATATCCATGCTCACTTGTTTACATATTGTGTATAGCTGATTCCACACTACAGTGGCAGAGGTGCACAGTTGCAATAGAAATCAAATAGCTCACAAGCCTAAAATATTTACTACCAAGCTCTGTAGGAAAAAGTTTTCTGATCCTTGAACTAGGTCACCAGAGCTGCTATAATCTCTATCTTTCACGACCCAATTTGTTCAGTTATTATTTGAGGCTTGTGAAATACCTATAATCCTATTAAAGATGATTTTTTTTCTCACTTTGGTCAAAGTTGGTTTCTTCTGCTTGCAGTCAAATAACACCAATTGATCAAAAAATTGTTTCTAGGAATAGGAACAAGCAACAGATCCTCTGAGAAATGTGGAGTATTTGGATCATTTACCCACACTGAGATAGGTAAATAAGCAGCAGTGAGATTGATCTGTAAAGACTGAGATGAGAAAGTAACTTTCTATGATATGCACTTCCAGAGCAGTTAATTAATCTGTCAACTCTGGCTCATAGATCTTTAAGTTAACTGAAGGGAATTTTATATGCTACTGTAGAATAATTTAAATATCATGAGAAATACTATAAATGACAGCATTGGATTGCATTAAAAAAAAATTGTTTTCTGAATTGGAATGAAATTGGTTTCTCTTGCTTACGACCAGAGAGCCTTAACTAATCCATTCAAACTTGAAACAGATTAATTTGAGGTAATTCATAGCTCAAAGTTGACATCATTCTCCCTGCTTAAAATAAACATTTTGCTATAAAATAAACATTATTTGCTTCTCTTTTTCAAATTTTCTATTTTTACTTATTATGGGTACATAACAATTATATATTTTTATAGGGTACATGTGTTTTCATACAGGCATACAAATCAGGATAATTGGGGTATCCACCACCTCAGCCATTAATATTTCTTTGTGTTAGAAACATCTCAATCTATTCTTTTAGTTATTTTAAAGTATACTCCAATTTATTGTTGATTATAGTCACTTTGTGGTGCTATAAGATAGTTTTCAGTCTATCTATCTAACTATATTTTTGTACATATTAACCATCTCCACTCTATCCCCTCATCCCTGCTACCCTTCCCAGCCTCTGGTAACCATCATTCTACTCTCTGTCTCCATGAAATCAATTGCTTTTAAATTTTAGTTCCCACATATAAGTGAAAACATGCAAGATTTGCCTCTCTGTGCTTGGTTTATTTCACTTTACATAATGTTCTCCAGTACCAAGCATGTTGTTGCAAATGGCAGGATTCCATTCTTTTTGTGGCTATATAATATTCCATAGTGTATGTGTACCACAATATTTTTATCCATTCATCCACTGATGGACACTTAGGCTGATTCCATATCTTGGCTATTTTAAATAGTGCTGCGATGAACATGGGAGTGCAGATATCTTTTTGATATACTGAATTTCCATCTTTTGGATATATATGCAGCAGTGAGATTGCTGAGTCATATGGTAGTTCTTTTTTCCAGTTTTTTGAGGAACCTCCATGCTGTTTTCCACAGTGGTTGCACTAATTTACATGCTCACCAACAGTGTACAAGGGTTCCCCCTTCTCCACACTCTTGCTAGCATTTGCTGTTGCTCTTTGGATAAAAATCATTTTAACTGGAGTGAGACGATATTTCATTGTAGTTTTGATTTGCATTGCTGTGATGACTAATGATGTTGAATATTTTTTCATATACCTGTTGGCCATTTGTATGTCTTGCTTTGAGAAATACCTATTTAAATCCTTTTCCCATTTTTTAATCAGATTATTTTATTTTTTCCTATCAAGTTGTTGGAGCTCTTTATATATTCTAGTTATATTCTACATTAATCCCTTGACAGACAGGTAGTTTGCAAATATTTTCTCCCATTCTGTGGCTTGTCTCTTCACTTTGTAGCTTGTTTCCTTTGCTGTGCAGAAGCCTTTTAGCTTGATGTGATCCCATTTGTCCAATTTTGCTTTGGTTGCCTGTGCTCTTAGAGCATTATTCAAGAAGTACTTGCCCAGACCAATGTCCTGAAGCATTTCCCCAATGTTTTCTTTCAGTCGCTTCATAGTTTTGGGTCTTAGATTTAAGTCTTTAATGCATTTTGATTTGGTTTTCTATATGACAAGAGATAAGGGTCTAGTTTCATTCTTCTGTATATGGATATCCCATTTTCCCAGCACCATTTATTGAAAATACATTTATTGAAAAAGATACTCTCCCCACTATATGTTCTTGCCACCTTTGTCAAAAATAAATTCACTATAGATGTGTGGATATTTCTGGGTTCTCTATTCTGTTCCACTGGTCTACGTGTCTGTTTTTATGCCAGAACCATGCTGTTTTGGTTACTACAGATCTGTAGCATCATTTTAAGTTAGATAATGTTATTCTCCAGCTTTGTGCTTTTGCTCAGGATGGCTTTGGCTATTCTGAGTCCTTTTAGTTCCATATAAATTTTAGGGTCATTTTGCCTATTTCTGCGAGGAATGTCATTGGTATTTAGGAGGATTGCCTTGAATCTGTAGATTGCTTTGGGTAGTATGGACATTTTAACAATATTGTTTCTTCTAATCCATGAGCATGGAATATCTTTCCATTTTTTCGTGTCCTCTTCAACTTCTTTCAACAATGTTTTATAGATTTCATTATAGAGATATTTCACTTCTTTGGTTAAGTTTATTGCTGGGTATTTTATTTTATTTGTAGCTATTGTAAATGGGACTACTTTCTTGGCTTCTTTTTCAGATTGTTTACTGTTGGGATATAGAAATTCTATTGATTTTTGTATGTGGATTCTGTATCCTGTAACTTTCCTGAATTTGTGTGTCAGTTCTAATAGGTTCTAATAGGTTCTTTAGGTTTCTCTGGACATAAGATCATATTATCTGCAAACAAGGATAATTGAACTTCTTCCTTTCCAACAGGTCTGGTGCTGATTAAATACCTCACCTTTTGCTTTCTGGGAAGTCTTTATTTTTCCTTCATGTTTGAAGGATATTTTGCAATTAAGTTTTTTTTTACTTTAGTACTTTGAATATCTTATGCCTGTAAAGTTTCCACTAAGAAGTCTGTTGCCAGAAGTATTAAAGCTCCTTTATATGTTATTTTATTTTCCTTGCTTCTCTTTGGACCTTTTCTTTGTCCATGACCTTTGGGAGCTTGATTGTTAAATGCCTTGAGGTAGCCTTGTTTGGGTTAAATATGCTCATGTTCTATGATCTCCATCTACATAAATATTGATATCTTTCTCTATGTTTGGAAAGTTCTGGTTTTTTTATTTCTTTAAATAAACTTTCTTCTGCAATTTTTCCCTCTACCTCCTCTTTGAGGCCAATAACTCTTAAATTTGCTCTTTGGGGGCTATTTTTTAGTGCTTATAGATGTACTTCATTCTTATTTATTTATTTATTTTTTCTTTTTTGACTTTGTATTTTCAAATAGCCTATCTTTAAGTTCACTAATTCTTCTGCTTGGTCAATTCGGCTGCACAAGACTGTGATACATTTCTCAGTTTGTCAATTGAATCCTTAAGCTTTAGAATTTCTGCTTAATTTTTTTTATTATTTTAATCTCTTTGTTAAATTTCTCTGACAGGTTTTTGAATTCCTTCTCTGTGTTGTCTTGAAGTTCACTGTGCTTCCTTAAGACAGCTATTTTGAATTCTTTGCCTGAAATGTCACCTTTCTACATCACGCTGGGATCTGTGACTAGTGTCTTATTTAGTTTGTTTGGTGAAGTTAGTTTCCTTAGATGTTCTTGATGCTCATGGATGATTGTTGATGTCTGGGAATTGAAGAGTTAGTAATTTGTTTTAATCTTCTTAGTCTGGGCTTGTTTGAACCCATCCTTCATGAGAAGGCTTTCAGATACTCAAATGGAATTGAGTATTGTGGTCTAAGTTTCTGGTCACTGCAGATCGATAAGCACTGGGGCTGCCCCAAGCCCAGTAATGCAGTGACTTTTACAGATAGCTAGTGGTACTGCATTAGGGAGCTTGGGTAAGGTACAAGACAATTCTCTAGATTACCAGGCAAAGTTTCTCACTGTCTTCCCTCACTCCCCCTGCTGGGTTGCTGGAGTTGGGGTAGGAGTGATAAGCACTCCTGGTGGTCACTAGTGCCAGGTCACACCTGAAGGCAGCCCAGTCTCTCCCAAAGCCAGTGGTGACTATTTCCTGGCTACCTCTTGTGTTTATTCAAAACCAAAGGGAGGGCTCTTTAGCCAGCAGGTCGTGGTGAATCCTTCCAGAGATGGGTCCTTCCCTTTAAGGCAGCATGTTTCCTTCTGCCCCAGGGTGGGTCCATAAATGCCATTCAGGAGCTAAGGCCCAGACTCAGTGGGCCTTTATTTTGCTGAAGGTAAAAGAAGTCTGCTGGTACTTTATTTTACTGTGGCTGAGCAAGTACTGAAGTTGCAAAAGAAAGACCTCTGAGCTCCTCCCTTTTCTTTCCTCAAGTAGAAGACACTCTCTGAGCTGTGCTGCTGTTGTTGGGGGAGGGGTGACACAGGCAGGGAGGGGTGACACAGGCACTGGCTTGGCTCCAGCTGCCCGTCACTGGGTCACATGAACCCCGAGTCCACTGGCCCTGAGCCAGCACAGCCACAGGAATTTTGCCCAAGGACTGCAGCCCTTGTGGCCTGACTGCCTTATGCATTTAGTCTAGGCCCCAGGCTGCTCTTTTAGTTGCTAGTGGTGCGGCCAGCAGGAACTCGGGCTTCAGGGCAGAGGGTTTGCCTCTGGCTGGGCTAATCTAAATGCTCCTTCCATGAACACGGCAGAATTCTGCCCTACACTGTCTTCCCCTGTGCCAGGGTGGCCCTGAGTTTCAGTGCAAAGACCCATAATCACTTCACTCTCCCTCCTCTGGCACACAGATTCTCTCCCCACTGCGTGCTGGTGTGGCACTACTAGGGAAAGGGGGACAGGTGGTGTAGGACATGCAAGACTGTCTTTTTTGCCCTCTCAGTGCCTCTTCCTTTGACATAATGTTAAAATCAGGCAGTACGATTTCTTACCTGATTTTTGGTTCTTCTGAAGGTGCTTTCTTGGGTGGGTGGTTGTTGAATTGGGTGTCTTTGTGGAGGGATGATTGCTGAAGGTTTCTATTTCACCATCTGGCTCCCCCCCCCTCCATTGTTTGCTTCTAGTAAGTGAAATAAGAAGCGTCATGTAGATCCTCTCCAAAGGCTCTGTGAAAAGGTATCCATTTTACCTGTAAAAACCAGAGCAGCTATAAAAAGATTTTTCTAAATAATATAGATTAATAAATGTCTTAATTACTTTACATCACAAGTGCAGAGGCAGCCAAAGAGTATGAATTATTGCATGTATTTGTATTAATCGAATGATTAATTCAATTAATGATGTCATTATATATTTATGTCAGGAAAAAATTTTAACATAGTAACTTATCTTCTGTTTCCACTGCTGTATTTATTTTCTAGATGCAATTTTCTTGCTTTTGTAGCTTTTATGTTATAGGACATAAAACAGCAGTTGCTAAGTAACTGCTAAGTAAGTTGATAAGGCAACTCCCTTATCTTTTTAGTGAAAGTCTAGACTAAGTGAGGAGGACTTGTTACATTATAGTAGCAGATGAAAGGACGGATTTCTGTACTTAGAGTTTATGAGGCAAAAAAAATGGCTAAATCCAGCAGGAATAAAAATATTACCAAAATAAGAGGGAACAGAAAACTTGGAAAATGTTACAAATTGAAAATTGAATATTTTCACAGATTAGAGACCAAGGTCACATGTGCATATGAACCCTTAATGAAAGATTGCTATAGGATGTGGTTAGAGGATTTTACAATTAATGTTGTGATCTTGAACATTTCGGGAAAACAGCTCATTCTCATGTTTGACGTAGAAGTCAAGCATATGTCACAGTGTAAGGGATCATTTTGGCCTAAAAATGGACTTGTCTATAGCATCTAATGTAATGTGAAGATGACAGAGCCCTTTTCTAAATTCATTGGATTACTTCAGACACTTAAAGACATTTTTTTTTTAAACAGATGATACTGGTTCAAGAAGACTCAGTAATGATGAAATTGAATTATTTTACCAACATGGGATGACTGAGAATCAGAATATTAGGTTTATTTTAAGAACCAAGTGTAAAATTCATTGTCCCCTAGTATTATAATCTACTACATAACTAATATATAAGTTCTATAATGGCATATAATCTTAAACTAATTATTATTTCTATTTATAAATGAAGAAACTACAAGAAAATCATGTTCTCTGACAGATATGGTAGAGTGCATAGAGGGAATAATGTTTCTTAATATACAGAATAGATATCACTTAACACTCATTTGAATGCAAAGTCAGAGGCAGATACAAAATTTTATGACTCTTAAGTTCCTGAACACAGGTACTATTTTTTATGATAAGGAATACAAAAAGAGAATATTAATAATGGAATAGGGTGCTTGACTTCCAATTTAATGTATTCAAGTTTGGGTCACTTAAGTATCCATTTACAGATATAATGTATATTAGTATGGATCCATTCAGGCAACAGAAACCCTATATTAACCTAAATGGGAGTGCTTAATGTAAAAAATTATCAAGCCATAATAGGAAAGTAACTACAGAGTTGTAAAAAGAACTCTAAAGGGTGCCATAAACCAGAAGGTGAATACCCAAGGAAGGACAAAGTTGTAAGGGGGCCCCTCCCCAAGGCTGGGGTCCAGCTCTAACTGGAGAATATGTGATTGCAGCACACTGGATAGCAGAGAGATTTGTTGGGTTATCCTGGTCCGTAGTCAGTGTAAGAGAGAGCAAGAAATAACACTCCTAGGATCAGAAAAGCCTATGGGCACACAGATGGTCTAGGGTATCTCTGTGGATGCAAGGCCTTGAGTGTGTAATATTTGTATCACTGGCACCTCAGGAAGATGGTCACTGTGTCCAAACCAGGGCTACACAGTAGTGGGTGGGCTGCCTGGTCCAGGAAAGCAGCTGAGATGGAGCACCACTACATGTCTCACACACTTGCACCACTGACCACTCACTCCACAGGAGCAAGGAAAAGCAAAATTAGCACACTGACACCTGGAAGAGAAGCCATCTTCCTCCTGCAGTGTCTCTCCTGTGCACTTTACTGATAATGCTTAGCCTTTTGCTAATTGTGAATGAGAAAAGCTTAAAGAGTCCATTTTAGAGCAGGTGCTAAAGAGTGAATTTGGACCAGAGAGTCAGTAACTTGATAACAGGCATAATATGAGAGAAGATGAGCCAAGATCAAGCACATATAGTTAGTACTGTCTACTAAATGTTGATTTTTTTTTTTAAAGCATAGTGGTTGGAGATAAACCCTATGAAAAGTATATACAGTAAGAAAAGTGAACTGATGTCTGGAGACATCAGTATTTAATGGGTAGAAAAAAAGAAATAAACAAGTAAAGAGTACTAAAAAAAGGGTCAGAGAAAAAAATCAAAAGGACATGATATCTCAAATACTGTTCATGAGATTTTTTTCCTGCCTTTTTCCAACCCAAGCACCCCACCAACTATCTGCCCGACATTATAACCATACTGGACTTCTCTCAATTTTTCAAATAAGTATTGATTCTTTGGCTTTGGTACATACATTTCTTTTTTTAATCCCAAGAATTTTCTGTTTTCTCACACTATACCACAGCGCATATTCATTTCCTTTGTGTGTCTACTAGCTAAGACCTGTGTTTCTAATCTTATCTTAAGTGCCATGAGATTTAGGGAAACTTCCCAAGCTTCAATCTGGTCCCAGCTGCATTAGTTACTCTTGACATGTGCTCCCACAGCCCTTATTATCTTCTGTGTCATGAACTCCTTGCTGTCTTTTGTACATGACTATTAGACTTTCTTCCTACATTGGAATCTCTGGGGAAAATGGCTTATGTTGGTATTCCTTACAGTTTTGCCCCAGGAAAGTAAAACTTTTTGAAGGCACTGGTAAGTACAAGTAGAATTGAGTAGTAAATAAATAAAACAAATGGGAGCAGAGATTGAACATTAAGACACTTTGGAAAATCTAGGGAATATAAATTAAGATAATAATTAATCTTACTAATTGGCTTTATATGTTAGGGAATAATTGATAAATTTTGAAAATGTCTTCTCCAATTCTTCACTTCATTTGTAGGAAAACTCTCAAAGAGCATTATCTATATCAACTAGTGTGGAATGAATAATGCCTATGCCCCCAAATGTCCACATTCTAATCCTTAGAACATATGTATCTGTTATCTTACATGGCAAAAGAGATTTTGCAGATGTGATTAATTTAAGAATCTTGAAATGCAGAAATTGTTCTAGATTGGTGGGTATATCCAAAGTAGTCACAAGCATCCTTACAAGAAGGAGACATTAGAGTTAGAATCAGATAAAAGGAAATGTGACAAAGGAGGAGATAGAAGAGAGAGAGATTGAGAAAGAAATTGTAAAAAAAACAGCCTGCTGACTTTGAAGACAAAGGAGTCAAAAGTCAAGGAATGTAGAAGGCTCATAGAAGCTAGAAAAGTCAAGGAAATGAATTCTTTCCTAGAGTGTCTAGAAGGAATATATCCCTACTGAACCATTTTAGAACTTCTGACCTCAATAACTGTAAGAGGATAAGTTTGTGATATTTTAAACCAAATTAATAAATTTGCTATAGCAGAAAATAGGTAACTAAAACACCAAGCTTCTTTAATTCTCTACTCTCAGTTTTCTCTTAGAGTCATTATGATTAAGCTTTTACCTCGAGTATTCTTCCCTAAATACTTTGTCAAAAGCAACACTGACTTTTGCTTCATTAAATCTAATAGTCAGCGTTTTTTTTTAATTGTACTTTACCTGTCAGTAGTAGAAACCATATTTAGCTACTATCGCTACTAATTGAGAAACAGTAGACGTGTTTCATTTAGAATCAAAATGAGACAGGTATTATTTAGTGGACAATGTACTGAAGGATAAACTTTTTAAATAAGAGCAATAAATAAAATTTTGAATGGAAGACACAAACTTGTATCTACATGAAATACACACAATAATTTACAGTCAAAGTATTATGGATAAGTTTATGGATATAATTTTAATTACAAACCAATTGCACCTCTATATTTAAGAACAATCTGTTAGAAAATATAATTAAAATAACATTTATAATATAAATAATAGGTACTTAGAAATAAATCAAAATATGATGTAAAATTCATCCTATGAAAAGTAAAACTATTTCTTATGAAACATTAAAGAAGATAGAAATAAATGTAAAGGATAGTATTCATGAATTGAATAGAAAGAACATCATGCCCAACAAGAAAAATGAGTTGGACAAAATGCCATACCAGGTTACAGGATTTATCATTATAATAGAAACATTGGTTTTGGTGCAGGAATAGGCAAAAGCACTGTCACCCAAATAGAAAACTGAGATACATACTCACACATATATTTACAATATAGAACAAAGTAGGTAAACTCAAGTTCCTTGAAAATAGAATGAGCATTGGTATACATAAACATAACTCTCAAATTCTACAAGGGCAAATATTTTCATCTATTCTTTTTTCTGTGAAATCCTAATGCTTACAACAGTGCCTAGCATGTATTAGGTGCACAATTAATATTTGTGGAATCAATATGCTGAATGAATCAATAAAGAGAAAAAATAACTCCCAACAAAAGCACCCATGTTTTGGGGGCAGTGTTGCAGTGACTGGGCTACATTTTGAGGCTATATATGTAATTGTGGACTTTTACTCTCTGCTTAATGTTTCTTCTGTTTGGTATATGAGTGTGTTTTCTTCATATTTGAACCTGTTATACTTTCTATTTTATTGTTACAGCCTTTTTGTTCTGGATAGATAATAAATAAGTTAGTATAAAATAGTGTAGAGGAGAAGAAACAGAAGGCTACATGCTTAAGAATTTGTTCTAGCCTTAAGAGAAATGAGTAAAAGCAATCTTAAGGTTTTCTTCTCGATTATCCAATTTGTCTCGATCAAAATATGAACAATGCAAGTAATGACACAGTCTCTTTCCAACTTGATTAGCTGCCTAACCATTGCATTTATAACAAAAAATGGCTTGTTCCATTAGCAATTAAGACATTTTGTATCAATCATATAATTATCTAAGAAAGTCGCACACTTTCTTTAATCAGGTAAAAACATCCTTATTACAAATATGAAAATATTCTAAAATTATGACTTTTTACTTTTCTTTCCA